TGAATTGACGTTGTGGACAGAAGTCTCTTGTGTCTCTGTGTTTGTGGCGCTTTCCTGACTCCCGCGTTTCCATATCAACAGGAAAGACCATTTCCCCCCTCCTCATTTTGCCCATGCTAATTCTAAAGTTTATAAAGAGGTTGTCTTGGTTGAAGAATAGCTCTCGCTTCGCCTAAAAAAAAACATAGAAGGCACTTCCTGCTATGGGAAGCCTATTCCTCGGGCGAGTTGTGTAAGAATTTACTCGGCATTCACTTTCTTTTGTATATCGGGGCTGGCAATTGTCTAACCTTTTATTCCCTGGCAATCAGGGTTAGTGCCCGTGTTTGCTCTCATGTCCTGAATTAACCTCCAATTATGAAGTAAGGAGGCACACCTTCTGCAAAACAGCGTATGTCTAACCCCCGTCTGAAAGGAAGTTGGTAATCTAGGGTTACAACTACAATTGAGCCCCACCTTTGTGTATTAAGTGAGACATTTGTAAAGTTAGAACATGGGATCATTTTTATCCATGCCTAGAAAAACGAGAGAAAGGAACGTGCTATGTAATTCTGAATATATATTAGCAAGAAGAGGGCTATTGAGTGATGAATTAACATATTCTTTATGATAATTAACTATATCTATTATTGACATGCAGCCAGACATTATGCTGCTTGCTAAATATTGAAAATATTATTTGGAAAAACCCCAACCCCAACCCTAACCCTAACCCAAATCCTGATCCCACCTTATCCCTAACCCCGGGGTGTCAAACTCAATTTCACTGAGGGACACATCAGCATTGCGGTTGCCCTGGGGGGGCTGGGTGGGTGTGGCCAGAGTGGGTGCAGCCTACTGGGTGGGTGTGGCCTATTGGGTGGGCGTGGCCAGCTCTACATCGTTCGTGTCAAGGGTGCCTGTGGGGGCTTGGGCAGGAGTGGGACAGATCTGAGGGTCTCTGGCAGAAGGGGGTGGGACCGGGGCAAGCGCCAAGGCATGGTCCACCGGGGCAAATGCCAAGATGGCCACCACAAAATTATACATTGGCTCCCGGCCAGCCTGGGCCAGGGCCAAGGCAGCGGGGGCCGTTCCCTCACTGTTTCCAGGATGGCTTCGCGGGCCACATGAAACCACTTTGCAGGCCGCATCCAGCCCCCAAGCCTTGTGTTTGACATGTCTGCCCTAACCCTATAAAAACTAATAAAATCTATACAAAAAAAAAAGAAATTTGTAAAGTTAGTTTTGCCCCATTTTACGACTTTTTCTTGCCACATTGGCTAAGTGAATCACCAAAGTTGTTCAATTAGTGGCGAAGTCAATCCGTCTTCCCCATCGTCTTTGTTCGTCAGAAGGCTGCAAAAGGGGATCACATGACCCCGGGACACCACGGCAACCGTCATAAATATGAACCGGTTGTCGAGCATCCGAATGTAAATCCCGTGACCATGGGGGGTGGTGCTGCAACGGTCGTAAGTGTGAAACATGGTCCTGTCACTTTTTTCGGTGCGGTTGTAACTTTGAATGGTCACTAAGCAAACTGATGTAAGTCGAGGACCACCTGTAGGGGAAACTTGCAAGGCAGAAGGTTTCACTTGTCCCTACGGTGCTTTGTGAGGAGACTTCGGTTCACGAAGTCCTCCACTTACGACCACAGGCAGGACCAGAATCATGAGGGGGGGGGGCTGTCCATTGCAGCCTTGAGCTCTACAACTTTGACAGTAACGTATATTGTTTTAGGAGAGATGGGCGGGGTACAATTCTAATACAGGAAGTCCTCAACCTATGACCGCCACCGAGCCCCAAATTTACGTTGTTAAGTGAGACAGCTGTTTAGTGAAATTTGCCCCCCTTTTTAACCTTTCTTGCAACAGTTGTTAAGCGAATCACTTAGTAACACGGTTACCCCATTGACTTTGCTTGTCAGAAGGTCACTGGAGGTGTTCACGTGACCCCGGGACACTGCGTGCCGATGGCCAAGCTTTTGAATTTTGATCATGTGATTGTGGGGAATCCTGCAATGGTCACAAGTGTGAAGAACGGTCATAAGTCACTTTTTTCAGTGCTGCTGTAGCTTCAGACGGTCAATAAGTAACTATTGTAAGGTGAGGACTGTAATCTGTAATCCATTTGCAAAGTGAAATTTCAGAATTCCTGTTTCTTCCCAAAGGAGTCAGCGTTTTGATTCTTGCTGGACATGTCAAATATTAGTTGCTTTATTATTTTGGAGGCATGTAATATGGCGTGAATTCATTATTTGGGGGAGGGGAAGGGCATGATATGAGAAATTTGGGCAAACAATATCCTCAAATATCTGACTCAGAATAACAGAGTTGGAAGGGATCTTGGAGGTCATCTAGTCCAACCCCCTACTCAGGCAGGAGACCGTATGCCAGTGATGGCGAACCTTTAAGTGACTGAGTGCCCAAACTGCAACCCCAAACCCACTTATGCATCGTCGGGTGCCGAGTGGATGTGGCCCATTGGGTGGGTGTGGCCCATTGGGTGGGCGTGGTTGTGGTGGTAAAGGCAGACTGGGTGGGACTAAAAAGTTCAATCAATCAATTCCAACTTTGCAAGATCTTTTTTTTTCCCGCGAGAAGTTGAAATTGACTGATTGATTGAACCTTTTTTTTTTGTACACGGCAGCGGAGACCTAAAGCAAAAAGATTTTATAAAACCCAGCTGAAGGCCTAGGACTGGGGCGACGGCACGCATGCCCACAGAGAGGGCTCTGAGTGCCGCTTCTAGCATAGGTTCACCACCACTGCCCTACACCATTTCAGACAAATCGTTGTCCAGTCTCTTCTTAAAAGCCTCCAGTGTTGGAGCACCCACAGCTTCTGAAGGCAAGCCGTTCCACTGGTTAATTGTTATCATTATTAGGAAATTCCTCCTGAGTTCTAGGTTGATTCTCTCCTTGATTAATTTCCATCCGTTGCTTCTTGTCCTGCCTTTGGGCACTTTGAAGAAGAGGTTGACCCCATCTTCTTTGTGGCAGCCCATTTGATGTTGGAACACTACTGTCATATCTTCCCTAGTCCTTCTTTTCACTAGATTAGACATACCCAATTCGTGCAACCGTTCTTCATATGTGTTAGCCTCTAGCCCCCTAATCTTTCATTATAATGAAATTATAACAGAAGATTATGACTCTTTCGTTATAATATTATAATAGGCAATTCCCTGCATGAGTATTGACCTGGTGGAGACAGGATGAATAATTACAGCTATATTATCTCTCATCTGTATTTATTTTTCAATAAAGTAAGTGGAATCTCTAGTTTGCCCCCCATCCTCTACTGTATAAACCTTTGCATTCAATTTACCACATTAGGCCAGATAATTTATTATGCAGTTTCCATCAATAATATAGTAGAGTTATATTTCACTTGGCTCTTCCAGATGGCCCTCAAGATTGACAATTGGTGTGATTGTTGCCTGCAGTTCGTGTGGGAAATATGCAAGCAGATGTGAGAGACTGTGTTCCTTCTTTGGTCTGCCTCTTTGGCACTCAGTAAAGCAGGGGTCTCCAACCTTGGCAACGTTTAAGACTTGTGGATTTCAACTCCCAGAATTCCTGAGCCAGCATGGCTCAGCTTGGAAACTCTCCCTTTCCCCTCAGCATGGCTGGCTCAGGAATTCTGGGAATTGAAGTCCACGAGTCATAAAAGAGCCGAGGTTGCCTACTCCTGTCCTATACCATCTCAGACCGGTGATTGTCCAGTCTCTTCTTAAAAATGTCCAATGATGGAGCTTCCACGATTTCTGGTGGCAAGCTGTTCCACTGATACCAAAACAAACAATAATACCAGGACACAATTTTCACCTCAAAATGCATCGAGTTTCAAATTTGGCGACCTTCAGAGCAGTTGAGTGCCGAGGTGCCACTGTATCAGGAATCATGTAGTGGTGGAACCAATTTTTCAGCTACTATAATGGGTGGTTCTCTGAACTGGCCAGGAATTAGGCCTTGCGGATTGTTAATCTATGCAGCAAAAGGTTGTCTATTGTAACCATAAGCTTTTTGGCTTCTTGTCCCCTGTTCTTTGCTTTTCCCCCTCTTCCCTTCATTAACATTACACAAATACAGTATGTGTTAGTTATATTCTTTTATTTTTCTACCTGTGAAATTTCTGGTCATACAGTTTTTAGGTTAGGTTTCATGCATTACAAACACATCCTAGTGTGAAGGATGGAATTCTTATTAGATAGTCATAGAAATTGTTCCAATCTCTCTCCCATTTTTTGTAACATGAGCATTAGATACCTAACAAAATGTTTGGTCAGCAGACTCACTAAGTATGGTAATTTTTGTTCTCAGGACAGTGAAAATTATTTTTCAGTATTATGAGAAGGGTAACCAGTGGTGGGATTCAGCCGGTTCGCACCACTTCGGCAGAACCGGTAGCTAATTTTTTGTTGCCCGGGCCCAGAATGTACTTCCGGAAGCAGCATCCACACAGAGAACCGGTTGTTCACATATTTGAATCCCACCACTGCCCGTGGCCACATAATCAAAATTTGGACACTTGGTAACTGCCTCATATTTATGACGGTCGCAGTGTCCTGAGCAGTGGTGGAATTCAAAGATCTGAACAACCGGTTCTCTTATTTGATGCTGGCCTGGGCCTCCAAGGCCTAGAACGGACTTCTGGAAGTGGTATCCACGCACTTCCGGTGGGCCATTCTAGGCCTGGGAGGCCCTCTCTATGCCTCCGAGACATAGAATGGACTTCCGGAAGTGGCATCCATGCACTTCCGGTGGACCATTCTAGGCCTGGGAGGCCCTCTCCATGCCTCCGCGGCCTAGAACAGACTTCCAGAAGCGGCATCCACACAAAGAACCGGTTGTTCACATATTTGAATCCCACCACTGAGGGTAACCACACCATCTACAAATTTCTTTCTGATTTGATGCGAAAGAAATTCTACAGGAGTCCTTTAGTCCTTTAAAACTTCTGCTTCTCGGCCTTTTGGCTAAGATCGAGTGTAGTAAAACTTCTTCTTTTTCTCCTCAGCTGAAGAACAAATTCATGAAGAAGTTACCACGAGATGCTGAGGCCTCCAATGTTTTGGTTGGAGAAGTTGACTTCTTGGAAAACCCTTTTATTGCCTTCGTGCGGTTACAGCAAGCAGTCATGCTTGGTGCTCTGACCGAAGTCCCCGTACCAACTCGGTAAATGAATGTTTTCTATCTGTTGTTCTGTTTAAAAAAAAAATTAAATTTAAAATTTAAAAATGAACCTGCAATCCTAATGATTGCTTTAATATGAGCTGTGGTGGCGCAGTGGTTAGAATGCAGTATTGCAGGTGGACTCTGCCCACAGCCTGGAGTTTGATCCTGACTGGCTCAAGGTTGATTCAGCCTTCCATCGTTCCGAGGTCGGTAAAATGAGGACCCAGATTGCTGGGAGCAATATCCTGACTCTGTTAAACCCCTTAGAGAGGGCTGTAAAAGCACTACGAAGCAGTATATAAGTCTTAAGCGCTATTGCTATTGCTTTAATAATCCATGTCACACAAATATGTTATTTTCCACAGAGAGTTTCGGGAAAACTTCTTTTTTTCATTGCTGTTGAACGGTCACTTAGAAGTTTTCCAGAAACCCTCCGTGGATGTGTCAGCCCGCATGGTCTCAACTAACATGTGGATGTCTGTTCTGGGAAGATTAATGTTGCTTTTAATGCAGCGCCTGTAGAACTGTTAATTTCCCTCATGTTGAGTTTGCTGTTTGCTATCATTAAAAAAAAAAAAAGGGATTTATTTTGCTGCCATATAGCTTCTTGCCCTCTTCAGAACCTCTTTATTTATTTATATGGCAGTTCTAATTAGCTGATTGAAAATAAATAATTTATGCCCTTGGCGACTGCAAGGTACCGCAGAGAAAGCTTTTATACAAGCGCAATGGCATGTATCTGCATAGTAGTGACCCCCAAATGTGAGCTGAAATTTGTTGTTGCAACAAAATGAGAAGGAAGATAAGAGGACTTTTTTCTTTGGGCAGGAATTCCTTAATTTGAATGTAAAGAGCTCTCCTTTGCAAAGCTTATGGGCATAATCCTATTGCATGATTTATTATGATATCCCTACCTGGGGAGATTGAATGAATGTTTTTATGTGACAGCTGCACAAAAACTGGAATGTCTGAGTGGAGGCTAAAACGTATGAAAAACAGTTGCAGGCATTGGGTATGTCTAGTCGTTTAATGAAAAGAAGGACTAGGGGTGATCTGATAGCAGTCTTCCAATATTTGAGGGGTTACCACAAAAAAAGAAGGGGTTCACCTATTCTTGTCTCCTGAAAGCAAGACAAGAGACAATAGATGGAAACTAATCAAGGAGAGAACCAACCTAGAACTAAGGAGAAATTTCCTGACAGGTAGAACAATTAATCAGTGGAACAGCTTGCCTCCAGAAGTGGTGGGTGCTCCATCAATGGAGATTTTTAAGAAGAGACTGGACAGCCATTTGTCCAGAATGGTATAGGGCAGGGATAGGCAACCTTGGCTCTTTTATGACTCGTGGACTTCAACTCCCAGAATTCCTGAGCCAGCATGGCTCAGCTTGGAAACTCTCCCTTTCCCCTCAGCATGGCTGGCTCAGGAATTCTGGGAGTTGAAGTCTACAAGTCATAAAAGAGCCAAGATTGCCTACCCCTGGTATAGGGCTCTCCTGTTTGAACAGGGGTTTGGACTAGAATATCTCCAAGGTCCCTTCCAACTCCTGTTATTCTGTCTTGGATGGTCATATGGGCTAATTTGTAAGTGTTCCTCACTCCTGCAAAGGAACTGGGAGACTATTGCCTCTCTTTGAAATTATTTCCCCCTCATCAAACTGCCACAGGTGAACCAGGCAGGAAACACAGCCAGATGAGATAATTCCATTCATTGCAAGATTGTATTAGCAGAATCTTGCACGTCTGAAAGTCCAAATCTTCCACTGTCTTCTTTACACCCGGAGAAGTTAAGGACAGTCCCTTCCAAGCCTCAACTCCCAGAATTCCTGAGCCAGCCATGCTGAGGGGAAAGCGACAGGTTTCTAAGCTGAGCCATGCTGGCTCAGGAATTCTGGGAGTTGAAGTCCACGAGTCATAAAAGAGCCAAGGTTGCCTACCTCTGGCCTAGGCCTAGGCCGCTTTATGACTCGTGGACTTCGACTCCCAGAATTCCTGAGCTAGCCGTGCTCAGCTTGGAAAGGGACAGGTTTCCACTCAGCATGCTGGCTCAGGAATTCTGGGAGTTGAAGTCCACGAGTCATAAAGGGGCCATAGTTCCCCATGCTGGATCAGGAATTCTGGGAGTTGAAGTCCACGAGTCATAAAAGAGCCAAGGTTGCCTATCCCTGCCCTATAACATTCTGGACAAATGGCTGTCCAGTCTCTTCTTAAAAATTTCCATTGATGGAGCACCCACCACTTCTGGAGGCAAGCTGTTCCACTGATTAATTGTTCTACCTGTCAGGAAATTTCTCCTTAGTTCTAGGTTGCTTCTCTCCTTGATTAGTTTCCATCTATTGTTTCTTGTCTTGCTTTCAGGAGACAAGAATAGGTTGAACCCCTTCTTTTTTGTGATAACCCCTCAAATATTGGAAGACTGCTATTAGGTCACCCCTAGTCCTTCTTTTCGTTAAACTATTAGACATACCCAATGCCTGCAACTGCAACCAAGCCTCCTCTGATCTAACCATTCCCTCTTTTCATATTTTTTTTCTCTTCGTATTTGCGTTTTACTTAAGTAAACGTTCTTAATAAAAAAAAAATTGCCTGTGGATTTGCACATGATAACAACACTGCTTTTCTTCCTGGGGGGTCCAGGTTCCTGTTCATTTTGCTGGGTCCAAAAGGCAAAGCAAAATCCTACCACGAAATCGGCCGAGCCATTGCCACGTTGATGTCGGATGAGGTAATCAGCCTTGGTGCTGAAATGGTCTCCTTGAGACCAGACTGTGCTAATCTATTAGTGCTTCTGGAAAATTTTAAGGGTTGCCTCCCATGGAGCGTATAGTCTTTGTACTGATCTCACCCAGTTCTTGAGGTCTTGGCTTGGGATTCATTTGAAATGTGGGCAATGGTTGGAAAGACGATCATACCAGGAAAGGAGGCATATTCACACCTGCCAAGCTGTTGACTCACTCCCAGCTCGGTGAACAACATCACTTTCGAAGTTACGACATTAGCTTTGGCTCGTGGGAATTTCATCAGAGAGCTCTTCCTTGAAGTTTGAATTTGATCGCCGGTGGGAAAATAACTGCAGGCAAATTTCCTTCCTTGATACTTTCTCAGGGGTGGCTCCCCTCCTCCGGAACATTTGCATACAAAACACACATCTGCACATAGGGAATTGGGTGGTGTAGTTGAAGGGAGTTCCTTGGGACAATGAAAGAGATGTGGTGGGTTGGGTATGGCCTTAGAGACAGTAGGAAACCCAGGTTGAGTTCAACAGGTCATAGAGCAAGTGATAGGAAATCTCCATTTCTCTAAAATTGGAAGGCCGTTGGCCAGAGTAGGCAGTGAAGCCTTGAGGGATCCTTGATGTGAGATGTTTCATTACCAAACTAGGTAACACTATCAGTGCTAGAAGGGAGTGGTGTCTGTGGAGAGGAGGAGAAGGAGGAGGACTTGGTGCTCTCTGAGCTTGGTTGTTTTCTTGCAGACATTTCATTACACAAACTAAGTAACATCGTCATTGCTAGTACTGGGGTTTGCTCTCAATTTATATTCTAGTCCAGTGATGGCAAACCTTTTAGAGACCGAGTGCCCACACTGCAACCCCAAACCCACTTATGCATCGTCGGGTGCCGAGTGGGTGTGGCCCATTGGGTGGGTGTGGCTCATTGGGTGGGCGTGGCTGCGGTGGTAACGGCAGACTGGGTGGGACTAAAAAGTTCAATCAATCAATTCCAACTTTGCAAGATCTTTTTTTCCCCCGCAAGAAGTTGAAATTGATTGATTGATTTTTATTTTTTTTTGCACACGGCAGCGGAGGCCTAAAGCGAAAAGGTTTTATAAAACTCCGCTGAAGGCCTAGGACTGGGGCGACGGCGTGCGTGCCCACAGAGAGGGCTCTGAGTGCCGCCTCTGGCACCTGTGCCATAGGTTCGCCACCACTCTTGTAGTATCTTGCCCTGTCAGGAATTTAATTGAGAACAAACCCTGCTCCTTATTAGCAGTGATGATGTTTCCTAGCTTGGCTTTATGAAACCTCTGCTCAGAAAGCACCAAGGACCCCTCATTTTAACCTTGAATTACAAATAACTCTTTTATCGATAGTAAAGGCTTATCTGGACAGATAGATGGGTGTTATGATGTATAGTTGCATATATCTCTGCAGAAATATCTAGATGGCATTTTTTTTTTTTTGCATCTGATCTCTTCTTCATTCATCCCTTTATAGGTATTTCATGACATAGCCTACAAAGCCAAAGACAGGCAGGACCTGATCGCTGGGATTGATGAATTTCTGGATGAAGTAATTGTGCTTCCTCCTGGAGAGTGGGATCCTGCCATAAGGATAGAGCCCCCCAAATCTCTTCCATCTTCTGATAAAAGGTAATTGCATTCCATCCTGTGGGAGGGAGGGAGGGAGGGAGGGATGGATGGATGGATGGATGGATGGATGGGTGCATGGGTGGGTGGATGGATGGATGGATGGATAGATAGATAGATGGAAGATAGATAGATAGATAGATAGATAGAGATAGACAGACAGACAGACAGATAGATAGATAGATAGAGATAGAGAGATAGATAGATAGATTAGATCAGACATGTCAAACACAAGGCCCAGGGGCCGGATGCGGCCCGCAAAGCGGTTTCATGTGACCCACGAAGCCATCCTTGAAACAGTGAGGGAACGGCCCCCGCTGCCTTGGCCCTGGCCCAGGCCAGCCGGGAGCCAATGTACAATTTTGTGGTGGCCATCTTGGCACTTGCCCCGGTGGACCATGCCTTGGCACTTGCCCCGGTCCCACCCCCTTCTGCCAGAGACCCTCAGATCTGTCTCTGCCCAGGCCCCCACAGGCACCCTTGACGCGAATGATGTAGAACTGGGCACGCCCACCTAGTAGGCCACACCCACTCCATCCACGCCCATCCAGTAGGCTGCATCCACTCTGGCTACACCCCCGCTGCCCCACCCCGAGCAACTGCAATGCTGATGCGGCCCTCAGTGAAATTGAGTTTGACACCCCTGGATTAGATAGATAAATAGATAGATAATAGAGATAGATAATAGAAATAGATAGATAGATTAGATCACTGGTTCCCAACCTGTGGGTCGGGAGCCCATTTGGGGTCGAACGACCATTTCACGGGGGTCGCCAAACAATGCAGTCCGCCATTTTTTCCCCTTTTCCTTAGCTGTGCTACTCCCTTTTATTCTATTGGCTTTTGAAAGCCAATAGAATTGACTCTCTTGAATAGAGTCTAATTCTATTGGCTTTCAAAAGCCAATAGGAATTGTCCAGGCTGTCTCTGCCCTGCTGAGCCTACCAAAAGTCCCATTCTGCCAACGGTGCTGCACCAGTTGAGTAGTCCTCAACTTACGACCAGTTGAGTAGTCCTTGACTTACGACTGGTTGGGGGTCGCAGCATTAAAAAGGTTGAGAACCACTGGATTAGATAGATTAGATAAATAGATAGACAGACAGACAGACAGACAGACAGACAGATACTATTTTTATTATTTCACAAACCATCCATCAAAAGACAAATGTTAGGGAAATGAAAAGCCAGGGAGGGCTAAACCTAACCAAATTGTTTTTCAAAACAGGCCTAAAATGCATCAGTGTTCTGCAGAGGACAGAGTAGTTCATATTATTAAGACCAAACGTAATTTCTGAAGATTACAAAAGGTTAAGGACACATGCCTGTGGTATTTGGGTTTCTGGGTATGTGTATCTGTAGGATGTTTGCATCAAGTGCGCATATTCAACTGTACTCTCATTCTGTCTGCCCAGGAAAATCTTGTACGCAGGCGGCGAGAATATCCAGATGAATGGAGACACCCCTCACGAGGGAGAAAATGGAGGAGGGGGACACGGGGACTGTGAAGAATTGCAGCGAACTGGCAGGTAAGAAACAAAAGTTCATATCTTCATATGGGATACTTTGCTAGTGTGTTATATAGGTAGTCCTTAGAAATAGAAATAGAATAATTGGAAGGGGCCTTGGAGGTCATCTAGTCCAGTGGTTCTCAACCTGTGGGTCGGGACCCCATTTGGGGTCGAACGACTATTTCACGGGGGTCGCCAAACAACGCAGTCCGCCATTTTTTCCCCCTTTTCCTTAGCCCTTTTATTCTATTGGCTTTTGAAAGCCAATAGAATAGATTCTCTTGAATAGAGTCTAATTCTATTGGCTTTCAGAAGCCAATAGGAATGGTCCAGGCTGTCTCTTCCCTGCTGAGCCCACCAAAAGTCCCATTCTGCAAACGGTGCTGCACCCGTTGAGTAGTCCTCGACTTACGACCGGTTGAGTAGTCCTCGACTTACGACTGGTTGGGGGTCGCGGCATTAAAAAGTTTGAGAACCACTGATCTAGTCCAACCCGCCCTGTTCAGGCAAGAAACCCTATACCATTTCAGACAAATAGATGTCCAATCTCTTCTTACAAACCTCCAGTATTGAAGCATCCACAAGTTTTTCCACTGGTTAATTGTTCTAACTGTCAGGAAATTTCTTCTTAGTTCTAGGTTGCTTCTCTCCTTGATTGGTTTCCGTAATCTGTAACTTATCTTAACTTTACAACCAGCTGCTTAACAACCCACCTGAAGTTACAATATATCTCCCTAGAACTACTTACCATCTGTTTTTGGAGCTTACAACAACTGCATACAAACACCGCCAATCGTGTGATTGCATTTGGAGCGTTTGGCAACTAGCTCACTTTTACGTCCATTTGCAGCATCCTGTAATCACGTGACCCTGATTTGTGACACCTTTTGCTGGTTTGCAGCATTTACTTCCAGTTTCCAGCAAAAAAAAAACAAAAAAACAAAAAACTCCCATTAGGGAAAACAGATTCATTTAGTGAGTGTGGCGTTTACTGTAGCCTTTGCTTAACAAATGTTGCAAAAAAACAAAAACAAAAAAACCCTCAGGTCTAATGACATGATACTTTGATTTACAACTGCAACATCTTACAATGGTAATTCTGGGCTCGTATGCAATCATAAATAAAGGACAACCTGTAAATAATAATAATAATAATAAAGTTGGAAGGGACCTTGGAGGTCATCTAGTCCAGCCCCCTGCTCAGGCAGGAAACCCTGTACCATTTCAGACAAATGGCTGTCCAGTCTCTTAAAAACTTCCAGTGTTTGGAGCATTCACCGCTTCTGGAGGCAGGTGGTTTCACTGAAATGTCAGGAAGTTCCCCTTCAGATAGTTTTAACTCGCATCCTTCTTGGGGGAAGCTATTACAATAGCCCTTAAAATTGTGTTTTGGGGTGCTGTTTTCAAACTCTCCTTCGCTATGTGGACTAATGTCATTGTGACACTTTCTCTTCTTCTTCTTCTTAGATTTTTTGGGGGTTTAATCAAAGACATCAAGAGGAAAGCTCCTTTCTTTGCCAGCGATTTCTACGATGCCTTCAACATCCAAGCCCTGTCTGCCATTCTCTTCATCTACCTGGCAACGGTAACCAACGCCATCACTTTCGGAGGCCTGCTGGGAGATGCCACAGAAAACATGCAGGTGGGTCACGCTTCTGAAGAAGCCAACGGGCTCAACAGGACGGAATTGGGCAAACACAGCTTTCTTCGAAGCCTCATCGCACGCCGCAAGGGGCTGCAGTGGCTCACGTGGCTAGGATCTTCTGACTCAGAAGATCACCGAACGGGTTGACTGCTTGGCAGTTCGAAACCCGAGAGTCCGAGCCGCGTGACAGAAAGAGCTCATCTCAGTTTGTCCCAGCTCCTGCCAGCCAACCCGTTCGAAAGCACGCCAATGCGAATAGACAAATAGGTACCACCTCGGTGTGGAAAAATAACAGGGACGCAAAAGGCCTGAGCAACGGTGAGGTCGCCGGCTAAGCCTTTCAACCTGGAAGTGCCGTGGTAGGTGCTTCCAACACATAAGCAGTAGTAGTTTACCACAGAAACAGCTGTATAGCATTGCAGGAAAGAGCTTTGTTGTAAATAACTGTGGGACGCCCGGCCTCAGACAGCAAGCAATTTGAGGGTCTTCCTGGACATGTGGCTTTTATTTATTTATTTATTTATTTATTTACTTACTTATTTATGAGACTTATATACCGCTTTAAGTGCAAACACTCTCTAAGCGGTGTGCACCAGTAAGCAATGTATATATATATTTACATTGCCCCCAACAATCTGGGTCCTCATTTTACCTACCCCGGAAGGATGGAAGGGTGAGTCAACCTTGAGCCGGTGAGATTTGAACCGCTGACCTGCTGAACACAGTCAGCTAAAGTGGCCTGCAGTACTGCACTCTAACTGCTGCGCCACCTCGGCTCAGCTTTTACCCCGAAGACCAAGTGACATCCATGGCTTGGCAGGACATGGCACCGTTCCATTTCCATGTTAACCGTGTAGTTAACTGTAGTTATATCATTGTCTGCTTTGATTTTAATGGATTATCTTAATTTTTGTATGTGTATCACGGATGTTTCAATCCAGTATGTTATATTTGTTGCGACCCACCACGAGTCATGAGATGTGACAAAGAATAAGTTCAATCAATCCAATCAATCAATCAATCAAAGTTGCTAGACAGTATCAGTGCTACTAGTATCATTTTGCAAACACTGACAGGTTTATGTTATATACGGGCATAATCTAGTACTTTATTTTGTAAATTAAGCATGTATATATGCATAAAGACGGATGATGATTTGCTAATTTAGGGCCACAAGCCTTAAAAACTAGTGGAACATCAAAAGCAGCCAGATAAAACCTTGAAAAAAAATCATTGATTTTGTTCCATAACTCTTAGATAGTTAATCCATCTTAGACAAATACTTATAGTTTAATCAGTGTGTTTAATGGAGCATCTGTATTTAATGACTAAAAAGAGATATTAAGCCTCTGGAAGCTTTATAATAATAATAATAATAGTAAAGTTGGGGAAAACAGATTCATTTAGTGAATGTGGTGTTTACTGCAGCCTTTGCTTAACAAATGTTGCAAAAAAAACAAACCCTCAGGTCTAATGACATGATACCTTGATTTACAACTGCAACATCTTACGATGGTAATTCTGGGCTCGTATGCAATCATAAATCAAGGACAACCTGTAAATAATAATAATAAAGTTGGAAGGGATCTTGGAGGTCATCTAGTCCAGCCCCCTGCTCAGGCAGGAAGCCCTATACCATTTCAGACAAATGGCTGTCCAATCTCTTCTTAAAAACTTCCAGTGTTGGAGCATTCACCGCTTCTGAAGGAAGGTTGTTCCACTGGTTAATTGTTCTCACTGTCAGGAAGTTTCTCCTTAGTTCTAGATTGCTTCTCTCCTTGATGAGTTTCCACCCATTGCTTCTTGTCCTACCTTCAGGCGTTTTGGAGAATAGCTTGACTCCCTCTTTTTTGTGGCAGCCCTTGAGATATTGGAACACTACTATCATGTCCCCCCTCATCCTTCTCTTCATTAAACTAGACATGATCCTTGATAGCCCGTGGTATGGTTTTTATACTTGATCCCTTTAATATCTTGTCAGGTGCAAACAACCAGACCCACAATTGAAGAGTTCAATTAACTGCTTTATTGCCCAAGCAATAAAGTCTCAGACTTGGGTGAGACTAGATAAGGATCAGTGGCATTCAAAGGGGGTTGAACTTTGCCTTCTTGTCCCCATGTAGGGATTCTAGACTAAGTCCCTGTTTGACTCCTCCCCCTGACTTGGCCATTGTTTCTCCTACAAGTCTTCTCTTAATAGTTCATGTGCCTTAGAACTGAATCACAGCACTGAGAATAGGTTCATGGCTTAGCATAGTTCAGATGAGGTTCTGAAATATGTTACCTGAAGATTTAAATGAATACTGATTTTTCCACCACAAAAGAAAGTGTTACCCTACAGAGTGATTTACTTCCTTCTGCCAGTGTGTGCTGAATGTGTGGGAGGGAGAGTGGAGTTTTTAAATTTATTTTAAAAACCTAAGTAAAATTAATCTCCTTCTCTTCTCTCCAGGAAAGGGAGAGAAAAACCTTGACTGCTCTCAACCTTCCTATCCCATATTTGTTTGCACAATGGAAATCTTTAGCTTAACAAATATGCTTCTGATTCATTTCCCTCCCCCAGAAAATCTGGACCGGCAAGGTTTTACTTTTTTGATTTTTTTTTTCCATATTTCAGAGCAATTTCAGGTTGGTTTTTGCAGATCTTCGTGATGGATCCTTTAGGCCAGTGGTTCTCAACCTTTTTAATGCCGCGACCTCCAACCGGTCGTAAGTCAAGGACTACTCAACCGGTCGTAAATCGAGGACTACTCAACTGATGCAGCACCATTTGCAGAATGGGATTTTTGGCGGGCTCAGGAGGGCAGAGACAGCCTGGACAATTCCTATTGGCTTTTGAAAGCCAATAGAATTAGACTCTATTCAAGAGAGTCTATTCTATTGGCTTTCAAAAGCCAATAGAATAAAAGGGAGTAGCACAACTAAGGAAAAGGGGGAAAAAATGGCGGACTGCGTTGTTTGGCGACCCCCGTGAAATGGTCGTTCAACCCCAAATGGGGTCCCGACCCACAGGTTGAGAACCACTGCTTTAGGCAATCCCAAAATAAATTAATTGTTCAAACTCAGATCCTTTGTTCTTTCTCTCAGGTCCTTACTTGACCTAGAATCCTGGGCTGGCTGAGGAATTCTGGGAATTGAAGTCCACAAGTCTTAAAAGTTGCCAAGTTTGAAGGCCCCTGCTGTAAGGCAATCAGATGTTAGCTTATAGTGGCCATACTTCTTCAATATAAAACAGAATGTACAGAAAGTGACACTGTAAATTTCAGATAGGTTGATAATTGTACAGTACTGGGTGACATACATCATTACTGTGCAAGCTTTAATTCTAAATATGGAAGTTGTATGATGTTTAACCACCACATGGTTAGAGCTTGGATTTTACAGAGAGAAACATGTAAAGAGAATTATGCAAATATGTTTCCATATAGATGTCTAAAGTAGACTCAGACATACAGTACCTACTAACATACACAATCAAGAAATACTGTTGTTGTCTTAGTTGGAGTAGGCTGTGCACATGTTAGTGTCTCCTCACTGGAGAACAAACTGTTGTTTATTATTAATTATATTTATATTATTTATATTTAGTGCAACAATACAGTCCCACTAAATCAGGGGTCTTCAAACTTGGCCCTTTTATGACTTGTGGACTTCAACTCCCCGAATTCCTCAGGCAGCGTTTGTCTGAAATGGTATAAAGCAGACATGTCAAACACAAGGCCCGGGGGCTGGATGTGGCCTGCAAAGTGGTTTCATGTGGCCCGCGAAGCTATCCTGGAAACAGTGAGGGAACGGCCCCTGCTGCCTCGGCCCTGGCCCAGGCCAGCCGGGAGCCAATGTACAATTTTGTGGTGGCCATCTATGCTGAAACGCATTCAGTCTTAGCTCCACAAGGCCGTCTGGAAACAGCGAGGAACCAGACCCTGCCGCGTCAGCCCCGCCCCCTGGGTGCATGCTGGGGAGGGGTCACCCTTTGTGAGGAATGAAGAAATGCACCAGTGCCTGGAAGTGGCCAGCAAATGGCCCTCGCCTACTTCACATATCCGGCTTGATGGGCTCTGCCCTGGTCCCACCCCCTTCTGCCAGAGACCCTCAGATCTGTCCCACTCCTGCCCAGGCCCCCACAGGCACCCTTGACGCAAATGATGTAGAGCTGGCCACACCCACCCAGTAGGCTACACTCAATCCATCCACGCCCACCCAGTAGGCCGCACCTACCCTGGCCACACCCACCCACCCCCCTGAGGGCAACCACAATGCTGATGCGGCCCTCAATGAAACTGAGTTTGACACCTCTGTATAGAGTCTCCTGCTTGACCAGGGAGTTGGACTAGAAGACCTCCAAGGTCCCTTTATTCTGTTAAGATTATAGCTTTGCAACATATAGAGGCAGAAGGGATTATCGTCAAGCTCAATGGGATTTAACACCCATCTAAGTCAAAAGAAGTGGAGGTACAGATCATTTGTGTAGGACAAGAACGTATCATCCCCTTTGTTATGCTATGGGGTTTCGTTGGCTGAGCTCCTACTCCATAAGAATCACACTTCTTATGGAATTGTGGGGCAGGATGGTTTCCCATTGGAGGCACCTCCCCCTTGTCCTGTCCTCATACTCCTAGGAGTATCCTTTCTCTCCAGCATCCAAGATGTCATTGTGCTTTCATATTTTTCCCACCTCCTACTACAGGGGTCTTCAAACTTGCCCCTTTTATGACTTGTGGACTTCAACTCCCAGAATTGCTCAGCCAGCGTGTCTGGCTGAGGAATTCTGGGAGTTGAAGTCCACAAGTCACATAAGGGCCAATTTTGAAGACCCCTGCACTAAATCCTGAGATGTACTATTTTTTTAATCTCTGCAAATAGGAAAGTCTGTGCTGAGAAGCATTGTTACCGTTCTTGGTATATCATTTATGTGCTAATAAGTTCAGATCCCCATTGGTTCAGAAGGACTTGGGGTACAAAAACTGTTATTGCTTGTCCAGCGAGGGTGGAGAGGATGTTTAGTAGTGATACAAATAATTTTGGCTTTGGGGTGGGCTTGAATCAAGGTTTAGTGCTTCTAAGACAATCAGCTTCTTTCTGAGTAGGGAGTATGTTAAATAGTTTGAAACGAGTGCTAGATTTATCTGTTTATTTATAGACAGAGTCCAGTCCTGAGTTTTGAGGTAAATGCCCCAGAGGCTATTGAATAAACACAATAAATATGAATCATAAAGGTCAAAAATAAACACAAGGATAAAAATAGTGGGGGGAAAATGATAAAAAGAGCAGCTTTCAAGAGGAAATTAAAGTACCATTCATGGTTTAAGGCAGGGGTTCTCAATCTGTGGGTCAGGACCCCATTTGGGGTCGAACGACCATTTCACGGGGGTCGCCAAACAACGCAGTCCGCCATTTTTTCCCCCTTTTTCCTTAGCTGTGCTACTCCCTTTTATTCTATTGGCTTCTGAAAGCCAATAGAATAGACTCTCTTGAATAGAGTCTCATTCTATTGGTTTTCAAAAGCCAATAGGAATTGTCCAGGCTGTCTCTGCCCTGCTGAGCCCGCCAAAAGTCCCATTCTGCAAACGGTGCTGCACCAGTTGAGTAGTCCTCGACTTACGACCGGTTGGGGGTCGTGGCATTTAAAAGGTTGAGAACCACTGGTTTAAGGAGATAGAGGGGTTTTTTTTTGGCTGGGTTCTTACAAAAAAGTGAAATTTCACCGGGCAAACATATTCTCAAAATTTGGATGTCACTATGGAGAATACAGGGAGTCCTTGACTTACGACCACCCTTGAGTGCGAAATTTCTGTCGCTAACCAAGACAGTTGCTAAGTGAATATTGCCCCATTTTTATGAACTTGCCACTGTTGCTACATGAATCTCTGCAGTTAAGTTAGAAGCATGTTTTTTAAGTGAATCTGGCTTCCCCATTGACTTTGCTATTCAGAGGGTCGCAAAAAGTGATCACGTGATCCCAGGACAACACAACCGTTATTAAGTATCAGTTGCCAAGCCTCCGGGTTTTGATCACGTGACCAGGGGGATGGTGCAATGGTTGTAACTTCAAATGATCGCTAAAAAAAATAGTTGTAAGTTGAAAACGACCTGTGCATTCTTCATTCTACTGTGCTTGAGAGGTGGGACCGGTGAGTAATTTCCTAAGGGAAGTAGGCTCAAAATTGGGTATCAGGGTGAATTTCCTAAAAGCTGCCAGCCCATGGAAAAGACTGTCACGCAAAATGATAAGGAGTTTTTCAATAGAGACCTTCAAACATCATTGAGCAAGTAACCTCTAGTGAATCCTGCAAGAACAGCTATTTGTATTATGTCAATGCTTCTCAACCTTAGCATGCTGACTAGAGCATTCTGGGAATTGAAGTCCAGACCTGTGAGCATCGCCAAGTTCAGAAACGCAGGACGAGATAATCTCTAAAATCCTTTCCAGTTCTGTGATTCTAGCACAGGGATAGGCAACCTTGGCTCTTTTATGACTCGTGGACTTCAACTCCCAGAATTCCTGAGTCAGCCATGCTGAGGGGAAAGGGAGAGGTTTCCAAGCTGAGCCGTGCTGGCTCAGGAATTCTGGGAGTTGAAGTCCATGAGTCATAAAAGAGCCAAGGTTGCCTACCCCTGTTGTAGCATAACAGTCCACTAAATGCAGAAAGGCATAGACAGGCAGTCCTCAATTTACAACAGTTCATTTAGTGACCGTTGAAAAACTTAGGACCATTTTTCACACTTATGTGGCAGCATCCATTACGTGGTCACGTGATCTAAATCCAGACACCTGGCAACTGACTCGTCTTTATGACGGTTGCAGCGTCCCGGGATCGTGTGATCCCCTTTTGTAAGCTTCCGACAAGCAAAGTCAATGGGGAAGCCAGTTTCACTTAATAACCGTGTTACTAACTTAACAACTGCAGTGATTCACTTAAAAACTGCGACAAGAAAAGTTGTAAAATGGGGCAAGACTCATGGAACAACTGTCTCACTTAGCAACAAAAATATGGGCCTGAATTGTGGTCCAGGACTACCTGCAATCAAGATTTCAATTGAGGGATGGATTTTTATAGGCAGGCAATTTCCTCTTTTGATACGGCCCTTGGAGAGTGTAAAAGCTACCGGAGGAACGTGAATGTGGGGGCCTATAAGGAACCCAGATAAATATTTGCGAGCTCAGGCGACATTTCTTATTACAACCACCATTAATCAGAAGGATCAGCCACGGACTTGAAAACATTTGGAGATTTCAAACTGTAATTCTCTCCTGCGAAAGCCATCACTTCTGCTGAAAAGAATGTTGCTGACTGTGAATTAAATGAAGTAATTTAGCTTCCCTATCCAGTTCAACATGTCTATTTATTTTCCTTCCCCTGCCATTGCAAGTGTAAAGCTGGATATTTAAGATAAGGTAAGGTAAGATAAGATAAGATGATAAGATAAGATAAGATAACCTTTATTGTCATTTTTTTGACCGGGCACAATGGCACACATCACAAAATGAAATTTAGTTACCAGCTCTCAAAGTGAAACACATACATGACACAGACCTAAAACATACTATATACAACATATGTATAGATCCACACCCCTGCATGTACGTAACAAATAAATATTAAATACTGTCCATCTTGAATATATAACGGAAGGAGGAAGCTTGAGAGTTCACAAGGTTAATGCTGTATGGAATGAAACTATGGCTGAATCTGGATGTTCTGCTACAGCTACCACGGAGCCCCCTCCTCCCAGAAAGGAACAAGGAAAACAGGTTGTGTAGAGGATGTGTGGTGTCCCAGATAATCTTGCGGACCCTCAAGCAACGCTTCTGTGCTATGTCCTGGATGGGAGGGAGGGAACTGACAATGATCTTTTCAGCTGTCCTCACCACTCTCTGCACGCCTTCCTGTCTGAATGCATTTAATAACACGGATGTATTTGCTTGTTTTTTTGTTTTGCTTCTAGGGTGTGTTGGAAAGCTTTCTGGGCACAGCCGTTACAGGAGCCGTTTTCTGTTTATTCGCTGGCCAGCCACTTACTATTCTGAGCAGCACTGGGCCCGTGTTGGTCTTTGAGCGACTTTTATTTAACTTTAGCAAGTAAGTCCGAAATGAAGAGGGGCTGGTAATATCATGGGGGGGGGGTTTCTGACAGAAAAATGTATAGCAACCTATTCTAGGATAAAAATGTTATCCCACAGTTCCCAGTCAGCCCTCCTGAAGGACTTCAATTCTGGAATTGACCAGTTGTTCCGAAAATAAATATGCAAGTAGTCCTCAACGTACAGCCACATTGAGCCCCACATGTCCATTGCTGAGAAAGATAGTTGTTAAATGAGTTTTAGTCCACTTTATGACCTTTTTTGTCACAGTTGTTAGCCGCGATTAACTTGGTTGTAAAGCGAATCTGGCTTCCCCATTGACCAGGGGTCAGCAACCTTAAACACTCAAAGAGCCACTTGGACCCCTTTCCCGGAGAAAAGAAAACATCGGGAGCCGCAAAACTTGAGCGTGCACGCAAGGGGTGGGGAGCTTGATTGAAGAGTTTAATTAAAAAGAAATAGAGGCTGCTGTGCGTGAGTTCTCTCTCTCTCTCTTTCTCTCTCTCTCTCTTTCCTCTCTCTCTCTCCCCCATCTCTCTTTCCTCTCCCCCTCTCCTTCTTTCTCCCTTTCTCTTTCTCTCCCTCTCTCTCTTTCTGTCCTCTCCCTCCCCCCTCTCTTTTTCTCTCTCTTCCTCTCTCTCTTTCTCTCTCCCCCTCTCTCTCCTTTCCCTCTCTCTTTCTCTTTCTCTCTCCTTCCCTCTCTCTCTTTCCTCTCCCTCTCCCCCTCTCTCTATCACTCTCTCTCTCTTTCCTTCCTCTCCCCCCTCCTCCCTCTCTCTCCCTTTCTCTTTTTCTCCCTCTCTCTCCCCCTCTCTCTTTCTCTCTCTTTTTCTCTCTCTCTTCTTCTCTCTCTTTCTCTCCCTCTCTCCGATCTTCTGCTCACCTGGCAAACTGGCTTCAGGGCTCTGGAGCCGCAGGGTGCCGACCTGTTCAAAAGGGGATCACATGACCCCAGGACACTGCGACCGTCATAAATATGAGCCAAATGTCTATGGAGATTCTCAGTCATCCAGGTCATGGTTTGTCCCAAAGGCAAACGTCTTTGTTTTTCCTTGAAGACGTTTCCCTTCTCATCCAAGAAGCTTCTTCAGTCAGAACTGAAGAAGCTTCTTGAATGAGAAGGGAAACGTCTTCAAGGAAAAACAAAGGACGTCCAGTTGCCTCTTGAAAAAGCACCTTTGGGATAAATTTGAGCCAGTTGCCAAGCATCTGAATTTTGATCGCATAAGCATGGGGATGCCGCAACATAGCCCCGGGCGACTCAGCAACCGTCATAAATATGAGCCGGTTGCCAATATCCAAATTTTGATCACGTAATCAAGGGGATGTTGCAGTAGTCAGACGTGTGAAAAACGGTCATAGGTCACTTTTTTCAGTGCCATTGTAAATTCGGTCACTAAACGAAAGATTGTATGTCAAGGGCTACCTGTATACCATTTAAATAGGTGTATGCTAAAGGCCAAAGAATGGAGGCCTTTGAACTCTGGTGCTGGAGAAGATGCCTGCGAGTCCTCTGGACTGCAAGGCGATCAAACCAGTCAGTCCTAGAGGAGATCAACCTGACTGCTCTTTAGAAGGCCATATCCTGAAGTTGAAACTCAAGTCCTTTGGCCACCTAATGAGAAGGAAGGACTCCCTGGAGAAGGGCCTAATGCTGGGAAAGATGGAGGGCAATAGAAGAAGGGGACGACGGAGAAGGAGGTGGTTGGATGGAGTCACTGAAGCAGTAGGTGTGAACTTAAATGGACTCCAGAAGATGGCAGAGGACAGGAAAGCCTGGAGGAACGTTGTCCATGGGGTCGCGGTGGGTCAGACACGACTTCGCAACTAACAACAACAACATGCTATTTCCCCCTCTTATATTTTCTTATTTTTCAATCTCACTTGACTTCTTCATTTGCAGAGACAACAACTTTGATTATCTCGAGTTCCGTCTCTGGATTGGCTTGTGGTCAGCCTTCCTGTGTCTGATCTTGGTTGCTACCGATGCTAGCTTTTTAGTTCAGTACTTCACCCGGTTCACAGAAGAAGGCTTCTCCTCTCTGATTAGCTTCATCTTCATCTACGATGCCTTCAAGAAGATGATCAAACTAGCCGATTATTACCCCATCAATTCCCACTTCAAAGTGAACGATATTACGCTGTATTCCTGTACCTGCGCACCACCAGATCCAGGTAAGGGGTAAACTTTGTTGCTTTGTTTGAAGGGTGAATTCTTAATAAATCATTATTGTATTAAATTCTAACACAATGGTTCTCAACCTTTCTAATGCCGTGACCCCATAATACAGTTCCCCATGTTGTGGTGACCCCCAAGTGGGTGTGGCCACCAATAAGAGGGAGTAGGACAGCTAGGGAAAAGGGAAAAAAATGGCGGACAGCGTGGTTTGGCGACCACCGTGAAATGGTCATTTGACCCCAAATGGGGTCCCGACCCACAGGTTGAGAACCACTGATGACAGCCTGGGACTTCAAAACAGGGAAGCGAGAGTCCACGTTTTGTTAGAATCTAACAAAACGTGGACTCTCGCTTCCCTGTTTTGAAGTCCCAGGCTGTCATCAGTGGTTCTCAATCTGTGGGTTGGGACCCCATTTGGGGTCGAACAACCATTTCACGGGGGTCGCCAAACAACGCAGTCCGCCATTCCCCCCCCTTTTTCTTAGCTGTGCTACTCCCTTTTATTCTATTGGCTTTTGAAAGCTAATAGAATAGATTCTCTTGAATAGAGTCTAATTCTATTGGCTTTCAAAAGCCAATAGGAATTGTCCAGGTTGTCTCTGCCCTGCTGAGCCCGCCAAAAGTCCCATTCTGCAAACGATGCTGCACTAATTGAGTAGTCCTCGACTTACGACCGGTTGAGTAGTCCTCGACTTACGACCGGTTGGGGGTCACGGCATTAAAAAGGTTGAGAACCACTGCTCCAGATGAAAGTTTCAGATACCACATTTTCATCCTTATTCCATTAGATTCCATTTGTAGGACCAGGAGGGTGAATTTTACCTCCAGTAACTAATTGTGGCCTTGAGTATTCAAGGTGAGCTGAGCACATCCTTGCTCCAGCTGGGATGTTCCATCATTTTTAACAAGTGTGGTCTTTACTTGCTGTACCTGCTTCAGTGGAAATAGTTGTCCACCGTTTGAGTCTCTCCAAGCCTCTTACGTAGCTTCTGGAGCAGACATGTCAAACTCGTGATGTCACGCGACGTATCGGGACTGTTTTGGCATTGCCGGCAATGGGGTGGGCACGGCTTCTGCGTGATGCGTCTGTCTGGCCCGCAGGCCGGCAATTTGACACTCCTGTTCTAGAGCAATGTCTTCCAAACTTGCCAACTTCAAGAAGTGTAGATTTCAGCTTCCAGGATTCTCCAGCCACCTGCGCACCAATTCAAATTTCGAATATGCCGTCCTAGGATTGCAGAATTTGAAAGGCTATTGGAATTACTATGTTGTTCATAGTATGTTTAGGTGTGTGTCATGTATGTGTTTCACTTTGAGAGCGGGCAGCTAAATTTCATTTTTGATGTGTGCCATTGTGCCCACAGTATAAAAATGGCAATAAAGGTTATCTTAACAGTCTTTTTTTCAACCTTGGCAAACTCTTACAATGTGTGAATTTCAGCTGCCAGAATTCCCCAGCTTGCATGGGATAAGTTGCCAATTTTGAAAAAAAACACTGTTCTAGATTATTCCTGAAGTGGGAAGGATCAACCCCACACTCTCACATTGATGATGTTACCTAGTTGGGTCGTAAAACGTTTGCAAGCAAACGATCTCCGAGAGCACCAAGAACTCCACAGTTCAACCCTGAGTTATAAGGTAGACAATTTTTTCAAGTGGAGGATCAGCTTTTTCAACCTTCTGTTACTTTTTTTTGGGGGGGGGAAATGTAATGGCTTAAGATAACCATTCACCCCTTCACCACCATTTTCTGATGATTGTTACTCCCATCTGGGATATTTAAATGGGCAAAGTGAAATCTTTGTACCCCCGAGAAATGGGCTGTACATTTTGGCACCAACCACTACAGTGATGTCAGAGCTTCATTAGTCGCACACCTGTGGCCTGGAATAAACTGGGATTGCTACACAGAAGAGGGAATCAAGTGATTCTCCAATGCGCCGGAAGGCAGGACAAGAAGCAGTGGATGGAAACTAATCAAGGAGAGAAGCAACCTAGAACTAAGGAGAAACTTCCTGACAGTTAGAACAATTAACCAGTGCAACAACCTGTCTCCAGAAGTGGTGAATGCTCCAACACTGGAGGTTTTTAAGAAGAATCTGGACAACCATTTTTCTGAAATGGTATAGGTTCTCCTGCTTGAACAGGGGGTTGGACTAGAAGACCTCCAAGGTCCCTTCCAGCTCTAGTCTAGTCTAATCTAGTCCTATTCTATTCTATTCCATTCCATTCCATTCCATTCCATTCCATTCCATTCCATTCCATTCCATTCCATTCCATTCCATTCTATTCTATTCTATTCTATTCTATTCTATTCTCTGTTTATTCTGTTCTCTATTCTATTCTAAATTCTAAAACTGTCTAAAATAAGCCATGGACCTCTTGTAAGAAAATTGCTGTTTAATGTCTCACGATAGAGATTTGAGATATTGTAATTCAGAGGCCGCGATTGGATGAATAGTTTGTGGTCTCTGCTGAGGAAAAAAAAAAGAGAGGTGGCTGGGGATTGTGGGAGTTGAAGTCATAGCAATCCAGAGGACACCTGTTCTCCCCGGCATATCCGTAAAATATTTACAATTTTAAAAATCCACAGGTGAAGATGGCATAGGAGGTAGCGTCTTCTTTGCATTAAAATGAACCTTACGATTAAAAAAAATATAGGGCTACAAAAAGCTAAATAACGCTGCACAGGTGATCTGATGATTGCTGTTTAAGGGGAAGTGAGTCAGATTTTGGCACAGGTAAAACAAGCTTGAGTATCTGGTGCCATGCCAAAAAGGAAGATGAGCCGGTGAACCTTACCTGTTTGCCCGAGTTGACCGTTGCTGGATGCTTGTCAATTATGCTGTCAAGCTGCAAAGAATAACTATGCTGTGGCATCCATTACTGCTTCTTAACTTGCCTAAAAATTCGGGGGGGGGGGGTGGTGGCGGTGGAGAGAGGGGAGGGAAGAATGGAATGCAGGCTTCAGACATCGGACTGCCAAGCTGTGAGCACTAAAGTCGCTCAAATGTTGTTTACTAAGAACTGAAACACTCTCTCATAATAACTTGTCGGATGCTTCATTGGACAATGTGACCTGCACTAAAGGGAGACTCTATACCAGTGGTGCCGAACCTATGGCACGTGTGCCAGAGGCGGCATGCAGAGCCCTCTCTGTGGGCACGCGTGCTGTCGCCCCTGCCCTGCCTACCCCCGTGGCCCCCTCCTCACCAGCAGCCCCTCTGGAGCAGAGTTGCCTCTGGGCGTGGCCCGCATGGAACAGCGCATGGCAGCTGGGCAGCAGGGACAATACTCCGCCTTTGCACCCCATCGTGCGCAGATGATGCTGCAAGGCGTGGGCAGAGGGCATGGCCACCAGGGCGCTGCAGGGCTGGCTGGGCGATCTGCGGTAGGCCATGGAGGCGGTAGGTCGCCCTGTGGGCAAGTGGGGCGGTGGGGGAGCAGGGGCGGGCGTAGCGGGCATGGCAGGGCAAGGTAGGTGGGGGCAGGGCAGGGGTGGAGCGGTCAGGGCAGGGCGGAGCGGGGGTGGGAGGGGCGGTTTTTGGGCACTCGGTGTCTAAAAGGTTCGCCATCACTGCTCTATACTTGAATATACTGATTTTGGCGCCAGTTAACCAGAGCTGGTTTTCCTTTCCTCTGTGCCGAAATGATGTGCTCAATAAAGTTTTGCATTAGAGATTGCATGGCCTCAGCTATGCTTACTTCATTGGGTTCATCAGTTGGAACCTTGACATAGGCATTAAATATGAAGGTCGCACGTTCAATCTTCCAAATGACTTCAGGAAGATGTAGAAGGGCTTCTCACCAGTGCTCGCTATTGAGTATATCATTTTGGGGTGTCTCCTAGTGAACTTGTAGACCCAGAAGAGGAATTGAAAAGATTGTTATAAACTCTTAGTTGAATCCCAGCTTTTCCTGGCTTGGTTGCTTTCAGATGTGTGAGTTGCTTCCAGATTATTCTGGGGTTTCTCAGCTGGGCCACACATTGCTGTGACCCACTGGTGGGATTCAAATACGGGAACAACAGGTTCTCTGTGTGGATGCCACTTCCGGAAATCCATTCTGGGCCTGAGCAACAAAAAATTAGCTACCGGTTCTGCCGAAGTGGTGCGAACCAGCTCAGTCCCACCACTGCTTTGACCAGGGGTAGGCAACCTTGGCTCTTTTTGACTCGTGGACTTCAACTCCCAGAATTCCTGAGCCAGCCACGCTGAGGGGAAAGGGAGAGTTTCCAAGCTGAGCCATGCTGGCTCAGGAATTCTGGGAGTTGAAGTCCATGAGTCATGAAGGGGCCAAAGTTTCCCCCATGCTGGCTCAGGAATTCTGGGAGTTGAAGTCCATGAGTCATAAAAGAGCCAAGGTTGCCGACCCCTGGCTTGGACCATCCAGGATGGATTCCATTTCTAATCTAACTTCACAGTGTCTACTCTATTGGTGTCCATCAAGCGGGAATTATAAATTACATACCACCTCGGGATTTTTTTTTTCTTGATAAGTCTTTTTGAAGAGTATATTTCATTCATTTTCTCTTCCCATGGAAAGAAAAAGAGTTAAGAGACAATCCCAATTTAGGGATGGAGTAGAAACATCACCAGCATCTCGTTTTGAAGGTTTTCAGAAGAATTTGTGACCTTGTGAAAAGCCAACAGACTGTAGGCAGAGGATAAGAGTCCCTTAGGTGAGTTCCCAACCACTATATACCCCGGAATTGCTGATTGTAGGCTTGTATCTTCACTCTATTTAGGAATGCAGAATTGGGGACTTGAGACCCTTGTGTCAAATATGTCTTAACACATGCTCAAATTGGGTTGAGAATAGAGGTCTAGATGCCATTTCCAGTCTATTACGTTCAAACAAGAAGTCTGAAGTGGAACAAGACTGGGGAAAAAAAAAAACCTTAACTGTTGGTGAATTCTTTGAGCAGACATGTCAAACACAAGGCCCGGGGGCCGGATGCGGCCCGCAAAGTAGTTTCATGTGGCCCGCAAAGCTA